GGTCGACTCTGAGGATCCCCCGTCTGTTCATCGTCAGTGTCCGGGGCGCGCCCGCGCGCGATGCGACGCGTCGCGTTCGCCCGTCGCGCGCTCGCGGCGCTCGCGCCGTCGCGCCCGCCGCGGCCGCATCGCCCGTGGGTCGCGCTCGCGGCGCGAGGAGAGACGCCTCCGTCCTCGCTCATCGCGCCCTCGCTCCCCCACGAATGGCGGTGCAGCTCGCGAATTCGACCTCAGGTGCGTTCTATACACTGGTCCCCATACGACCGCGTTCGCGTGGTGAACGCCGATCCTTAAGGACTTTTGCCGGCGTGCCTCTGCGCCCACCCCTCGCTTTCAATCCCCGCCCGCGTTGCATTTCAACTCCACCTGACGCCTATGAACTCCACCCCGACGTTCGCTCGTATAGAACGCCCCTCACACGCGCGGATTCGCCGCCGCCGCGTCGGCGTCGCGCGACGGCGGCGACGGCGACGGCGACGACGCGAAGACCCCACCAAAGCCGGCGCGACCCTTCGCCGGGTGGATCCCGTGGGGGGGGTACTCCAAGGTCGCCACTCGCGCGGAGGACGACTTATACGACGCGGAAGGAGAGTCGGAGTGGTGGTCGCGACCGAGGCGCGCGTCTGAGGTGCGTTCTATACACTGGTCCCCATACGACCGCGTTCGCGTTGTGAACGCCGATCCTTAAGGACTTTTCCCGGCGTGTCTCTCCGCCCACCCCTCGCTTTCAATCCCCACCCTCGACGCCTTTCAACGCCGCTTCTGACGCCTTTCAACTCCACCCCGACGCGCTTGTATAGAACGCCCCTGAGCAACGCGATCGCGCGTATACGTCGTCGTCGCCGCTGCGAGCCGCCCTCCTCGGCGCGAAGAAATGGAACGCGCTCCTCGACGTCATCGCGAACGCCGCGACGAAAGGGCGTCGCGAATACGCCGACGCCGACGCGTCGTCGACGATCGCGATCGAGCCCAAGGACGTCGCGATCGCGACGTCGCGCCTGTACCGCCTCCTCCGCGCGATCGTCCCGGCCGCGAAGGGCGCGGAGATCTTACGCGCGCGCGTCCTCGGCGACGTCTACCAGCGCGAGGAGCGGACGCGCGAGGAGCGCGCGCGGCGGCGGCGGCGGCGGGGAGGGGGCGCGGCGCCGCCGCCGCGCGAGTGGCGACCGCCAGACCTCGCGCGCATCGACGCGCGGTGGCTCGCGCTGCGCGACCTCGTCCGCGACGCCGCGAGCGCATTCAACGCGCAGGAGACGTGCAGCGTGACGCGCGCGCTCGGCGAGCTCGAGCGATTCGAGAGGGACGCGGGCAACCTCAGCGGCGTGTTCGACGGCGTGTTCGCGCCGGTGCCAGTTGACGTGGGTGCCGTTTCATCTTCCGCGACCCTAAGCGGCGACGGTGAGAAGGGCGCTCCTCCTAAGCTCGCGAAGCCGTGCGCGGATGGGATCGCGCGGTCGCATCAGGTGCGTTCTATACAAACGTTTTTCACCCATCCTTCGGTTTCAACATTTGATCGCGTCCCCTTTCAACTGACCGATGAACTATTTTTGTATGGAATGGCCCTCTCAGCCGGAGCTGCTCGCGAGGCCGCTCGCGGCGGCCGTCGCGCGCGTGTGCGCCGACGCGCGCGCGGACGATGTGAGGGAGGAGATCAACGGCAAGCAGCTCATCATGCTGACCACCGGGTTGCGGAAGTTGAAGCACGTCCGAACCGCGATCGACGAGCGGAACGACGACACGTGGCGTTCCATCGCGCGGCGCGTGCTCGACGCGGCGAACGCCGCGGAGACGCGCGGGCCGGCGCGGTGGAGCGGCGGCGGCGCGTGGAAGGGCGGCGCGCGGAACACGGTGCGGTCGCGGCTCGAGTCGTATGGGCAATCAGTCGAGGAGGGCGAGCGCACGGCTGGCGGCGTCCCGGAGACCGCGGCGCTTCTCGCGGCGAACCTCGCGCACGTGCCGCAACTTCGCGACGCGCTCGACGACGACGCGCGGTGAGACTGCTTCCCATACGACCCCGTTCGCGATGTGAACGCCGTTCCTTAAGGACTTTTCCCGTCGTCGCTCTTCACCCGCGTTTCCCTTTCAACGTACGTTTGACCGGTAAGACGTTCGACTGACCGATCGCTTCACCCACGCAGGCGGCTGTTGGTGCGCGGCGTCGTCCGCGCCGCGAAGACGGGCGCGCTGACGGGGACGCTCGCGAGCGACTTCGACGGCGACGGCGACGCGAAGCGCGGCACGCGGCGGCTGCTGCAGTACGCGTTCAGCGCGTTCAGCGCGTGCGACCGGTTCTGCGCCGTCGCGAGCGAGGACGACAAGGCGACGCTGCTGGCGGCGGCGACGACGCATTTTTTCGAGCCGATGCGGCGGGCGGCGGCGAGAGCGCCGCCGCTCCGGCGTCGCGGACGAAGAGATATGTCGGACGCGCGTCGGACGAACCTCGCGACGAAAAGCCGCCGTCGGTGGGACGAGCACGAGGGGTTCGGCCCGCAGCGTGGATCGAGGCCGACGTCCGAGCACGACGTCGTCGTGAAGGGATTGATCGGGTTGGGGTTGGAGGAGCCGTGGAGTTCGTGGGATTGGCAGAGGGGGAGGATGTACGGCGAGCCGCCGATTCCGGAGCCGGACACGATCGACCATTTCCTCCGGCGGCGGCGAGAGGAGCGAGACGCGGCGGCTCTGGAGAGGAAGAAGGAGACGAAGGCGCGAGCGGCGGCGGCGCAGACGCGCGAGGAGAAGACGGCGGCCGCGGCGACGGGCGAGGGCGAAGGCGAAGGCGAGGGCGAGGGCGAAGGCGAGGGCGAAGGCGAAGGCGAAGGCGAGGGCGCGCCGCGGGAGCGGCGGCGGACTGCCGCCCTGGGAAGCGAGAAGCGCGGGTGGTTGGGCGACCTAGGGTTCTAGGTGCTTCGGGGTGAAGCTGAGGGATGTGGGTCGTTGAGCGAGTCACGTAGCAGTCGTCCTGGGTTCTAATAAATTACCGCCACCGCGACGCGTCGCGTCAAGCTAGCCCCCCCGCGCGCCTTCTCCGCCTTCTCCCCGAGACGCCTCCGCGTCTCGCAGCGCGCTCGAGCTCAGCTTCCCGCCCTCGCCGTCGTCGCCGATCACCCCCACCGCGATCAGCGTCACCGGCGCGAACCCTCTCTCCCTCCGCGCTGCGTTCAGCGCCTCCCCGCCCTCCGTCGTCTCCCCGGACACGACGAGCGCGTCCATGCGCTCCGTCGTCGCCGCGAGCGGCGGCTCGTTCGCGCGCAGCGGGCCGACGCGAACGTCCAGCGCGTCGCGCGGAGGACGCGTCGCGCGAAGAAACGCGAGCGCCGCCGCCGCGCGGTCGTCGTACGACGCGATCATCCCAGCGCGCGTCTTCCCGCGGAGCATCTCGTCGCTCGTGACGCCCACGTAGAGCACGCCGTGACTGGTTCCCATACGACCGCGTTCGCGTGGTGAACGCCGTTCCTTAAGGACTTCGTCGTCGTCGTCGTCGTCGCCGCCGCCGCCTCCCGTCACCGCAGACGCGGTCGCGAGGAGAAGCCTGTGACCCGCGTGGATCCGGTCGAACGTGCCGCCGACGCTGACGCGAGCGAAGCGGACCGGGGCCGGGGCCGGGACCGGGGCCGGGGCCGGGGCCGGGACCGGGCGGGACGACGGCGGCGGCGGCGGCGGCGGCGGCGGCGGCGGCGCGTCGTTCGCTCCTCTCTCCGCGTTCGGAACGCTCAGAACCTCCAGCGGCGGCGCGCCCGCGGCTTCGCGCTTCCGCGCGATCGCGTCGAGGGTCGCCTTCGCGCCGGCGCCGGGCGCGGCGGCGACGAACGCCGCGCGGCCGGTGGTCGACGGGGATCCTCCTCCTCCTCCTCCGTCGTCGTCGGCCCAGACTGCGGCGACGTCATCGTCCGTCCATCCGAGGCTCCGCAACAGCGGGATCGCGCTCAGCGTCGGCGCGACGGACGCGACAGCGTCGTACATCCTCGCGAGGAGCGTCGCCGTCGCCGTCGCGTCCGCGGTGGCGTCGGCCCCATCCTTGACGTACACGCGCAGCTCGCGCGCGGACGAAGACGACGAGGCACCGCGACGATGGCACCGCGACGCGGCCGCGGCGACGACGTCGCGCCATCGCGCGTCGTCGTCGTCGTCGTCGTCGTCGTCGAGGTCCACGATCACGACGCCGCGCGTAGCGCCTTCGCCGCCGCTCGACATCGCCGTCGCCGTCGCCGTCGTCGCGCGCGCGCGTCGCGAGGTGGCCGCCGACGCGGCAGATTCACGACGAGCTCGACGGAGGAGGCGAGAGGGCGGGCGGGCGGCGTCGCGCGATGGAGGACGCCCCGGACGCGCGCCGACCGCGAGCGGCCGCGCGTCGAGGACGCGGGCCGGCGTCGTGCTCGTCGCGACGCGCGCGCGGGGCCGGGACCGGACGGTCGGCGGCGCGCGGCGAGGCGATGCGCGGCGACGCGACGAGCGGTCGAAGTCGCAATGCAATGCACTCGTCGAAAACGTCGTCCTCGGCTCGGATCGATAAAACATTCGCGCGCGCTGACGCGGACGCGGAGGAACGGGGCGCGCGTCGCCGCGCGCACTTCGCCGCGCGCGGTGGTCCCGCGATCGCGATGGCGTCGCGCTCGACGGCGTCGCTCGCGCTCGCGCGCGTCGCGCCGGGGAGCGGACGCGGACGACGGCGCGAGCCCCGCGTCGTCGATCGCGCGCGGTCGTCGTCGCGAAGGGCGACGACGACGACGACGACGACGACGACGACGACGACGCGAGGAGGAGGATGCCGACGCCGACGCGGCGACGCCGCCGCGCGCGCCGCGACGACGACGGACGCGACCGCCGAGGAGGAGGAGGAGGAGGAGGAGGAGGAGGACGAAGCGTTCGCGTTCGCCGCGCCCGCGCCTTCGCGCCTCGCGACGACGTCGCGCCGGCGCGTCCTCGCGCTCTCCTCCTCCGCGCTCGTCGGGTGGGGCTCGATCGCGGGCTCGATGGGAAGCCTCCTCCTCCTCCCGCCGCCCCCCGCGTCCGCGGTGAGACTGCTTCCCATACGACCCCGTTCGCGATGTGAACGCCGTTCTTTAAGGACTTTTCCCGTCGTCGCTCTTCACCCGCGTTTCCCTTTCAACGTACGTTTGACCGGTAAGACGTTCGACTGACCGATCGCTTCACCGATCGCTTCACCCCCAGCTCGTGGACGCCGCGAACGCGCAGAGAGTCTTCGCGGTCGCCGCGCCGGGGGTGGTCGCGCTCGCGGACTTCACCGCGAACGGCGCGAACGGCGGGTACGTCCCCGCGGGAGTCGGCGTGCTGTGGTCCGACCGCGGGTACGTCGTCACGAATTTCCATCTCGTGAAGCGCCACCTGAACGGCGCCGCGGACGCGTCGGAGCCGTCCAAGCCGCAGAGAAGCCAAGCCGACAAGGGCAAGGGCGCCGCGGTCGCGACGACGACGCTGCGGGTGAACGTCCCGGTCGCGGTGGACGGCGACCCGGTGTGGTACGACGCGGAAGTGATCGGGACGCAGGCGCGTTCTGTACAAAAGCTGGTTTTTCACCCATCGCCCGGTTTCAACACTTGATCGCGTGGGTCCCTTTCAACTGACGCCCGATGAACTGTTTTTGTATGGAATCGCCTTCAGAGGACGAGCGACGTCGCGGTGTTGCGGCTGACGGGGCCAGTCGCCGACGAGCCAGTCGCCTCCTCCACCTCCTCCTCCTCCTCCTCGGCGTCCTCGTCCTTGAGGGGTATGCCGTTGGGCGGGCCCTCGGACGAGCTCCTCGTCGGACAGCTGTGCTACGCGATCGGCGCCGGCGACGCGACGACGACGACGAATAGCGACGGAGCGGGGAAGGGCGCGAACGGCAACGGTAACGGCGGCTCGAGCTCCTATTCGTTTAGGCAGCGGTCGACGATGAGCGCGGGCGTCGTCAGCGGCCTCCGACGGAGCGTCCCCTCGAAGAACGGGACGACGATTCGCAACGTGATACAGACCGACGCGAGCACGGACGAGTCCGCCGCCGGCGGCGCGCTCGTGGACAGCGGCGGGCGGCTCATCGGACTGATCGTGACGACGTTCGGGAACTCGCCCAACTCGAGCGGGCTGACGTTCGCGGTGCCGGCGGACGACCTGCTGAAGATCGTCCCGAGCCTGATCACGCTGCGGCAGATTTCGTGAGTTGGCCCTATTAGTAGGCGCGGCGAGTCGACTTATTACCGTAGGGATCGTATGTATATTTCGCACGTAGCCCTCACGTACTGTAATGTCCTCGCGTAAACGACGACGAACGACGTCGCTCATCACGCGCGCGCTATGAACAGGAGCGCGTCGTTCGTCTCCGGGGAGAGCCGCGCGCCCGCTCGCGATCTCCGCACGACGTCCGGCGTCGCGCTCGCGCGAATCATCGTCTTCATCTCGTCCGCGGCGAGCAGAAGATCCGTCGCGCGATGAGCGTACATCAGTCTCGAGCTCGTCCCCGTCCCTCCTCCCGTCGCCGCCTCTCTCTCTCTCTCTCTCGCCCTCTCTCGCGTCCATCGCGCGTGCAACACCGCGGCGACGCCGGCGACGTGCCCCACGCCCATGCTCGTCCCGCTCTGCGTCGAGAACGCGTCGTCGGAGGGGCTCTCGCAACGCTTCGACCCGCCGCACGCGCTGAGGGCCGTTCGATACAAAAATAGTTCACCGGTCAGTTGAAAGGGGACGCGATCAAGTGTTGAAACCGAAGGATGGGTGAAAAACGTTTGTATAGAACGCACCTGACGACGTCCACCCCTGGCGCGTACACGTCCACGCACGCGCCGTCGTTGCCCCAGGCGTACGCCACGTCGGATTCGTCCGACGCCGCGGTCGTCAGCGTGGACGGCGCGCGCGCGGGGGAGACGTCGCAGGCGTCGCCGCGGAAGTTGCCGGCGGCGACGACGACGAGGACGCTGAGGGCGAAAATATTGCCGGGGAACAAAAAATGTTCATCGTTCATCGTCAGTTGAAAGAGCACGCGATCAAATGTTGAAACTACGTGTACGTGTACGGGGTGATGGGTGAAAAACGTTTGTATCCCTAGCAGAACGCACCCGAGCCGCGCGGCGACGGCGTCGACGGCGCGTTCGAGCGCTCGGGAGGACGCGCCGTCGGCGACTCTGAGGCCCAGCGCGAGGGCGATCACGGACGGCCACGCGAGCCCGCGCCTGGCCGGCGTGATATCGGATTCGAGGAGGTCCGTTCAGTTGAAAGGGACCCGCGCGATCAAATGTTGAAACTACGGGGTGGGTGAAAAAAAAAAGTTTGTAATGGCGCACGCGCACCTTCGATGGTACGCGACGTGAGACGCGACCCACTCGAGCCCCGCGACGACGTCCGACGCGCTTCCGCCGCCGTCGCAGTCGAGGACCCTCACCGGGTGGATCGTCGCCCCGGGAGCGACGCCGACGGTGGCGCCCGCGATCGTCGCGGAGACGTGCGTGCCGTGGCCGTCGCAGTCCTCGAACGGCGACGACGACGACGACGACGACGTTTTTTGTCCTCCGTCGTCGGTGAAGTCGACGCCCGCGCCGATCGCGCGGCCGCCGCTGAATTCCGCGTGCGTCGCTCGCACGCCGCTGTCGAGGACGTACACGTGCGCGCCCGCGCCCGCGTCGGCGTCGCGGACGTACGCGCCGTCGAGCGGGAGCGCGCGCTGGTCCAAGCGGTCGAGGTTCCAGAGTTTCGTTCGCGTCGTCGTCGTCGTCGTCGTCGTCGTCGCGGCGGCTTCGACGCGCGCGTCCGGCTCCACTATCTCCAGCGCGGGTCCCAGGCACCGTCTCAGCGCGCGGAAGTGCGTCGGCGCGAACGTCGCGGCGAAACCTCGGACGCCTCCGCCGCCGCGGTAGACTCGTCGGCACAGGCCTCGGACGGCGAGGAGGCACCCGAGTCGAAGCCGGTTTTTCCTCCCAGTTTTTCCTCCTCGGAAGTCGTCGTCGTCGTCGTCGTCGTCGTCGTCGTCGTCGTCGTCGTCGTCGTCGTCGTCGTCGTCGTCGTCGTCGTCGTCGTCGACGACGACGCGACGCGTCGGACCGATCACGGGCGCGAAGCGCGCGCACATCTCCTCCGTGACGTCCGGCGCCGCGTCGTCGTCGCGGAGGAGCACGACGAAGCGCCTGCGCGAGAGGGTCGGGGGGCGCGCGCGCGGCGTCGGGTTCAGAGAGGAGACGCGACGCGGAGAGAAGAAGAGGAGCGGTCACCTGGGAGCGTCGTCGTCGTCGCCGTCGTCGACGACGCCGTCCGCGACGGTCTCGGTCGCGTTCCCCCGCGCCGCGTCGGCGTCGGGGGCGAAGAGAAGGACCGCGAGGAGCGACGCGAGGACGAGCGAGACGCGCGCCATGGCTGGCGGCGGCGCGGGCGCGAACTGCGCCGCGGCCTCGAGAGACGCGTCGAGGGAATAGAAACTCACCGCAGTGACAGGCCGCGCGGGCGTGGGCTCGGCTTCTGTTTCTGTTAGGGCGCGCCCTTCGCGAACGAGCCGTCCGACGCGATCGCCAGTGTCCCCGGACGCGACGCGCGATCGTCACGATGCCCGCTGCCGCGAAGAAGGCGAAGACCGCCGCGGGCGCGGGCGGCGGCGCGGTCCTCCCCGGACAGCCCGTCCAGGCGCCGTCCGCGCACCCGCAGCAGGCCGCGCACCCGCAGCATCAGCAGCAGCCCGCCGCGCCTCAGGTGCGTCCAAAGTTTTTCACCCATCGCCCGGTTTCAACACTTGATCGCGTCCCCTTTCAACTGACCGATGAACTATTTTTGTATGGAATGGCCCTCAACAACAGGCGCCTCCGCAGCAGCGTCCTCCGCCCTCGCAGCAGATGCCCGGCGCGCCGGTCGCCGCGGTCGCCGCGAAGCAGGCGCAGGTGCAGGCGCAGGCGGCCGCGGTCGCGGCCTCGCAGGCGGCCGCGCGCTTGCCGCTGCGCCAGCGCTCGAGGGCGGACCTCGAGAAGGAGATCCGCTCGAATCAGGCGCGTTCGAGTCGCGCTGGTCCCCACGCGACCGCGTCGTCGGCGCGGTGAACGCCGATCCTTAAGGACTTTCTCTCCCGCTGTTCGTCTCTCTCCGCCCAGGGTCCCTCGCTTTCAATCCCGACATACCTCGACGCCTTTCAACTCCGCTTCTGACGCACCCGTGAACTCCACCCCGACGTCGCTTTGAACGATGGACCCTCGACCCTCAGGAGCTCATCCGACGCGAGTACGCGGAGACCGCGGCGGCGGCGAGCGCCAAGGGGGAGGAGTACGCCCCGCCGAAGTTCGTGGTCCCCGCGCAGTACGACGCCGCGATCGGGATCGAGCTGTGGCTGTTGGACCACGCGTCGAATTTCAACGCGTCGGAGCTGGACAAGAAGGTGCAGCTCATGCGGTCGATCCAGGCGCGTCCCATATATGTTCGTTCGTTCGTTCGTCGCGCGCGCCGGCGGTTTCCGCGCGACGGCGTCGGCGCGGCGCGCGCCGTTCCTCGAGGACGGACTGGACTCTCTCTCCCGCGTGCGTGCGTTTCTCTCCGTCGCTCTCTGTCGTCCGTCCAATGAAACGAAACGTCGTCCACGTCATCAAATAACTAACCAATCACATCACTTCAAAACGCCGCGTCGCCCGCCGATCGAACGACCCTCAGGACAAGGTGGCGAGCGGATCGCTGAACAAGATCGAGGAGGAGGGCGTCCAGATGGAGCTCCTCGCGTGCTGGGTCGAGCTCACGAAGACGTTCTACATCGCGCTGCGCGAGAGCCGGAACCTCTCGAGCCGCGGCGTGCCGAACATCAAGGCGCCGACGTTCCGCCTGCCGGAGGAGCTGCTGCCGATGCCGTTGCCGTGGGATCCCGACACGGAGCTCGTGGACGAGCACGACTTCGACAAGGTGCGTCCCATCTCACACTGGTCCCCATACGACCCCGTCGGCGTGGTGAACGCCGTTCCTTAAGGACCTTCTCTCCCGGCGGGCGTTCGTCTCTCTCCGCCCAGGGTCCCTCGCTTTCAATCCCGACGCACCTCGGCGCCTTTCGACTCCGCCTGACGCCTTTCAACTCCGCCTGACGCCTTTCAACTCCACCCCGCCGTAGGCGATGATCGAGGTCGTCGGCGCGCAGGCGTGGATAGACGCGGTGGAGAAGCACACGTGGGAGAACATCAGGGCGCAGGAGGAGTACGAGAAGGAGAAGGAGATGGCGGCCGCGGCGGAAGCGGCGGGTGGGGGTGGGGGTGGGGGTGGGGGC